TATTCATAGGTAGTGGTGCTGGTGTCCCTGTGTTCTTTCATCTTTCCTAAAACTTTTCTGTCACTTTCTCCTGTTAATTTGTTTGCATGACAACTGATTTTATCTTTTGTTAAAAAATACTACCTCCAACCCGGGACATTTAGAGAGACATGGGAAGTAGGAGGGAGGGTCTTAGAAAGATTCACAGGACATGCCAATTTAGATTGAGGAAGGAGAGAGAGAGGAGGTCACTGGTCACTTCTTTGCCACTTCTCTGAGCAATCAATTTGCCCCCCAAAAAACTACTACGTCCATATATTAATCGCCTTCCTTTGTACCCACTACATATCTTTTCTCTAAGGTTATGTTTTATATTTCTTTTGTACAATTTCATGGACTTTCAATTCAGTTAACCGTTCTCTTCCTCCTGGCTTTCAGTTTTCTTAGATAAAAATCTTACAACACAAGAAAGTGCATTCATTTTACAGCTATATCCTCAGAACCCTATTTCATCATCCTGGGATCCAAGGCTCCGTTTCAGAGTCTTTCCCTGGTTCACAGAAATTGTGAAGATGCTGTTCTTCCGGATGCTTTCTTTGTGAACTGTTAATGAAGCAGGCCCTCATTTCTTCTTTTGAATATTATTGCCAAGCAACTCTGCTTTTCCATGAATTTAATAATTGTTCCTTTTGAGTGGTGGGATGCTTTTTGTTTTATGGGTTAAAGTAAGTAGGCATTAAGAGATAATTTGGCATTAGATTTCACTATACCACCATCAACCTCACTGTACGTCACTGATACCTGGCTTCCTCCTTTCTTACGTAGCTGGACCTGGCCTGGGCATTCCCCCTTCCCTGAGACTGGAAGTGGACACTGAGTGTGTAATTTCCTGTGTACATTTGTGACCCAGTGTTCAAAAGGAAGATGCTTGGAGAGTCGCTGACCCGAAGGGGAAAAGATGGCCGTGCCATACACTAGGAACCTAATTCTGCCAAAACGCAAAGGTCCTCTTGTAATGAGTAATGCTGGTGTAGAAGGTCGGAAAACTTGTCATAATGGTGCCATTCAACCAGGGATTTGACCCCATTTCCTGTCATCAGACTGATGGGAGTTGGATGCAGATCAATCCAACCCTAACATCAGAGGCAGGACTACCCAGTCAAACAGAGAGGATTCTCTGTTAGCTTCGCAGGACTCTTGTCCCTCTCAGTCTGCTGGAGCTTGAACAGTGTCCAGATTCCCAGAGACAACATGTGGTGACGTGAAGCTTGTGGGACCAAGCCAACGTGGCCCAACAGTGAAAGGAGCCGGTCATTGCATAGTCATTGCATAGTCATCTCCAGTTAGGGGGTCTGAGTGTTGCAGGTGGAGCTTGGCCCTAGCGCCCTCTGTAATGTGTTGGGGGGCTGCAGCAGTAGCTGAGATGTCTGATGTGGTAGGTCGAATGGTGATGTGCCCCCACCGGCTCACGTGTTTACATGCTTAGTTCTACTTAATGGACATGGTGCTTCCAACATTGATATTTGTTTTGCTTAGGGCTTCTTTCAGCCTGTTGGATGCTTTCCGCAAAAGATCACAACACACCTATGCACACAAAAATTATTATGGATCAAAGACGTGAGAAATACATAATATAAACAATGTATTGAGCTTGGACATAAAAGCTGATAAAGTGAAATACAAGGCCTGGAAAGGCTGGTTACCTTGTTTTCATAAAGGCAGGGTAGACTTAAATGGGTAGCAAGTTGAACTTACACTCCTAAATCATCATTATACTCCTAAGTCATCATTTCTCAAGGCATATTACTGACTTGCTTGCAAGAAAGTTTAGTCTCTTTGAAGGTAAGATATATTTTCTGGAAAAATATTTCAGTACAATTGGGCACAACTGTGTCTCCCCAGATTGTGTGATTTCCACAGGAAATGTCATCAAGGGAGAATCCATAGGTGTTGATTCTCGCCAACCTGTGCAGATCTGTCTGCGAGACCTGGAATCTGATCTGAGGACCTGAAAGAAGCCGGGAGGGAGTGTGGGACAGGACATGACTGTGGTCTAACGCTGTAGACAGCCTTACTTCAGTTTCAGTGTGCTTTTCTGCATGAATGTAACAAACCAGTGATCCAAGGAAGGTCGTTTGGGTTCAGAAAAACATGTAAATAATGATCAGTAAGCACATAGTGAATAGTGACAGAGCAACCCTTTCCAGAACTTTCTCAGGACAGACTCATTTAAACAATGCTTGGGACTTACTATAGATTTTATCTGGGAAAGCACAAAAGCCAGGCAGAAGGCCCTACCGAGATTCAGGGTACAATGACCAGGTAGGTTCTATACTATGTTCTGACAGCCAACAAAATTAGTCTTAAACGTGAATATAAATGTTTATCACAGAAGGCATGAAATCACGTCCAAGAACAGTCCAGGGAACAAGATGCACCTGAAGTAAAGGCCCTCTGCTCTACATTTCTTCCTGGAGCCTCTCACAGCTCCCCAAGGTGGTATTCTCCATGGGCCATCCTTCTGACCAACCGTCCTCCATATATGGCATATGGGGTTTCTGTGGGTGGTGTTTAGGTTCTAGCTGACTTGAAGCCCAAATTTCAACACAAGGATGACCCCTTTGGGGTCTTTGAAATTAATGAAAGCAAAAAAAAAAAAAAATGTCAAATCTAGGAATCTGTTCCCCCAGCCTGTCTCTATCAGCTGACAAACTAAAGCCCTACGTGTCCTTTCCAACTCTTCGTTTATTATTGTATCAGGAGTAGAATATAAGAAAGTATTTATAAATCCAAAGTAGAAGAGAAACGAAGATATTTTTGGCTTTAGTGCTTACTAATTATAATTTATTCTCTTTTCTACCATGATTTTGCTAAACTTGGGAGAAAGAATTTCAGATGTAATTGAGTCTTAGCAGTAGCTACGGTAGGTATCAAGAATAGAGAAGCTCTTTTATTTCAGATTCATCAGGTGAGTAAGGTAGAGGGGTCGTTGCATCACAGACCTTCACGAAAGCATTCTCGGAAGATTTGTGATGGTCACTGCTTTGCTGTTCTCTGTACTTGGTGATTTTTTTATACTAAATTTCATGAGAGTTAACTTTGCAAATCCTATTCATTTACACATATGATGCATTGTTTATTGAATTATTTATCTGTTTTCCCATTACAAAGAATGTTATATTCTCTAAAAGGGATAGAATAACATTATTTTCATTTTGAGATATGAAATTTAAGTGCTTCAAAAGTTTGTTTATTGTGATTAACACTGAGTGTTTTGAATAGTTTGTTGCAACACTGAATATTCTGTCATTTAAAGCTGTGGATATACTTAGAAAGCAGAAGGCTGAGGTTCAGAACTTAAAGCTAAAGATTTCCAGGGAAGAAAGACAGATTCCTAGGGGAATGTGTCTCCGGTTAGGGACTGTGGAGTCCTGCATTCAGAACTTGCAAACCTTTGTTTCTCCACCTTTCTTACTTCTGCTTAGTGTCGTTCTGGTTGTTGTTATTTTAAGCTACTCACTTTTCTTCTAAGATAGAACATGTTTTGAAATATTAAATAGACATGGTGCAGTAAGTTTTCACTTTATTCCACCTCAATATCACATATACACACTTTATCACTCTTTATTTTTAGCAAAAGAAACAGCAGTAAGCGAAAGAATTTAAATTAACAAATATAATACAAAACAATAAATAACTAAAAAGCTGTAACTTTTATTGTGGCTTTACATCCTTAAATATGTTCTCAGTGATCGTGTGTTAAAAAAAAAGAATCTTCTTTAAATAGAATATAATTCAGATTTGCACAAGTTGGCCTCTAGCCACATGGAGTTAAGGATGGCCTTTAATTTACATTCTCCTGCCTTCACCTCCCAAGTGCTGGGGTTAAAGGTCACACACACACACACCTCTGGGTAAAACAGTGCCAGGAAGTCAGCTCAAATCTGTGTGTATGCTAGGTACACTCAACAGACTGAACTACATCTCCAGACCCATTTTCTCATGTTTGACCTTAACATTCTACTCGTGTGTGTGTGCGTGTGTGCGTGTGTGTGTGTGTGTTGTGCGTGTGTGTGTGTGTGTGGTGTGTGTGTGTGTGTGTGTGTGTGTGTGTGTGTGTGGTGTGTGTGTGTTTGAATCTGTCTTCAGAAGGAGCCTGGGCCTTACGTGTAATAGCCAACAACCTGTCACTGAGAAATGTACACAGCCATAGTTTTTTTTAATTTGTTTTGAATTTATAGCTACCATTTTTATGTGTAGAAATAAAATATAAATATTATTTGATCAGTTTTGTTTTGCTTCCTTCTGAACACATTTCATTCCCAATCTCATGTGGAAACTGCTTGAAGGTTATTTTAGTTATTTTAACTTTGTTTCCATCTGAATCTTGGAACAGGGACATTTGGTCAGAACCTAGGCTTGACCACTTGCTATGTATTTGAAAACAGATGTAGAAAAAAAAAAACATAAAATCATTCCCATTGAAGATACTTTTAAATAATCAAAAAGATTATCCTTGCTTTACTTCCTATTGTAATAAAATGCATAATTACTTTGACAGTCAGATTTACCAGTGAATTCCTCCACTAGTGTTCTACTTCATGGTTGCTAATGAATAGCTCTTGGACACTGGCATCGGCATCTCTACTGAGCCACATCCTTAGAAACCCTGACTCCTCTCCAGAACTCCCAAATCAGAATTATCACCCATGTAATCTACTATGACTTTCTCACCTAAGAAATATATACAGTGTTGTATATAGTAGTTTATATAGTGCATATTTTGATGCTTTACTTTGGCATGTTAAAGGTCATAAAGTTAGAGTGTTTACACTGGTTTAGCAGAGCTATGACATACCTAAACTTGGTTAGGTAAGATGTAGGATATTAATGTGATATAAAATGCACCTTACTAAACAATTTCCATTGCCTATGTCAACACCAGTTCTAACTCTCTTCTTGGGTGATACTAAAACTCTGATCAGCTTGCTATTTATTTCTTTTGTTCATTTTTATTTCAGGACCAGTTGACATTCAGCGATGTGGCCATTGATTTCTCTGAAGATGAGTGGGAATGCCTGGACCCTCCTCAGCAGGATCTGTATAGGGATGTGATGTTAGAGAACTACAGAAACCTGGTCTCTGTGGGTGAGGACAGAATCCCGGCAGAGCTCCCAACACACTGCCAGCATTTAACGTCTTTCCTTTCAAAAATGTCAGCTGTGGCCTGTGCTTTTCATGACCAATGCAGATCTGTGCTTTACAGAACAGTTGTAGGCATAGAGTATTCCCATTATTCTTGTCGTTGTCCCTTTCCTCTTTCTGTAGACCATATACAGCCTAACTTTAGTTTAGTGGTGATTGCGTCATTTCTATGGCATGTCACATTCTGGTCTACATCTCCTCTTCAGCTTTGATTTGATTATAGTCAGAGGTAGAGCTCAGTATTTGCAAACTGAAAATATGGTCTCATATGTCTTTTGGGAATCACACTTGGACTAGTATTGTTCTTAAATTCTCTACCAAATCTTCTCTTTTCTATTGAGCACAGAAGTGAGACAGATAACCTGATGTGTTACAGGAGCAATCCTACTATATGTCATATTCTCTTTTCTAATTACCAGCTCTTACTGTCTCTACGTCATGCATGGTTACCCCTCTGGAAGCAAACAAAAGAGCCCTAGGATGTAAAGTAGGTAGGGAGGAATGAATGAAGCAGGGGACACAGTTGAGAGATGCAAAGATCAAGGCGCAAGCACACTAGAAGTTGGTGTAATGCACTGTGTGCACATTCCAAATTAATTTTATCTGCTATGCAAGGGGAGTTGGGTCGCTATCACCCCTTAACTGTTATGCATAATGTTGCAGTTACAGTGGAAATACATCTTCATTTGGCCATCACCTGGGTATTAACCACACTCCTGATTTCCATAAGTCTACCTGTTTAGCCTAATGTCAGGAGAAAACCATTTTGATCATTGTTACTTTTAATATACTTTGTGCTCAGGAAACCTGATGGCTCCTAATTTTTTCTTAAGAGTTTTGAACTCGTCATTAGCATCATAGATTCATCTGATTTTTTTTAATTGCTATAGGTATTTCTGCTAAAAAAAATAATTTTCAGGTTTTGATAGAAATTAAACGAATTGTCTAGATTATGTTGGATATAACAGTCATCTTAATTTTATCTTCTCTTCTGTAATAGTACTATAATCATGCATATGTCCTTTAAAGGACCCATAGTTTTAGGTTTTCTTATTTCTCTTCCATTGTTGATGTCTATGTATTATTTCATTATGGTTAGAAATAAACCTCAATACTCTATCTGTTAGGACTGTGTTGTATCCTACCAGGTATTCCAACTTAATATTTGTTTGTGTCTGTAGGTCGGGTTTTTATAGTATTTTCAGGATTTGTTTCCTAGTTAGTTCCCCGTGTAGCTTTATTTTATAATACAAAAGGTAGGGTATGAAGTCAGTGTTATTATGGTGCTTTCAGTGTCTTGCTTCAGTTCTCAGTGTTCACACCCTATGTGTGAGAAGTGGGAAGTGCGTTGTATATGTGTTTATTACAGTTGCGCTCTCCTAGAGAAATGGCCATTTGTGTTTGTCTTAATTAGGGTTTCTGTGGCTTTGATAAATATACCATGACCAAAAGAAGTTTGGGGAGGAAAGGGTTTATTTCGGCTCACAATTGCATATCACAGTCCATCACTGAGGGCAGTGAGGGCAGGAACTTGGAGACAGGAAAGGCCTGCAGAGTAGTCCAGCTTACTGGCTTGCTCCCCATTGCCTGCTCAACCTGCTTTCATATATACCCTAGGGCCACCTGCCAGCAATAACACCAGCCACAATGCACTGGGCTCTCCTACGTCAATCATCGGATATGAAAACGCACCACCCCTCCCAGGCTTTTCCACAGAGCTTTAAATTTTTTTGTTTGTATTGCCTTGTAACAGTAGGGCAGTCCAGCGGAGATGGTCGTTTGGAGCGTTTATATATCCTTGGATGCAGTTCTTTCCCTTTGAAGGATGGGTTGGCTGGTGGTATGTTTTAGATTTTACCCCTCCAGCACGTTCACTGTGTTCTCCATCTTACGTCTGCATTACAATGCTTCTCTTAGATGCTCCTCTGAGGTCACAAGAGCAGCATCACTTTGACTGCTCTCAAGATATCTCTGTGACTTGTGAAGCGGAGACTCCATTGTGTGTGTCATGTTCACTCTCTGTCTTTCAGCCTGAAGCAACTAATTAAGCCGCTTGAATTCTGATGTGTTTCCTCATATTTCTAGTTTTTCCACCATTATTTCTTATTAAATTTGTCTCCTATATTATTTTCTTGTGGTGTCTATTTCTTTGTGTTCTTGTTTTCTTGATTTTAGTGTTTAATGTGTTTTATTTATCCATTATCTTTAGATGGTCGTTTTGTTTACATAATTCATAAATCAGTTTTTAAATGATGAGTTTGTGGTATTTTTCATGTTCTTTCCACTGAGGCATCACTTTGTTTCTTTGTGTACTGTATTAACATTCATTGAAACTTGCCCTTTGAAAAAAGAATCAGCAATGGATTATAGCAGTCATGGGGGTGATAGCATGTTGGCACCTTGAAACCATAAAAAAACAAATGTGCATTTGTTCCAGCAATCCCAGGGACTAAATATTTGGGCAACAATACTAAATCACTCTATTGAGAATATCACCAATAATGCAGCATGATTTGAAGTTACCAAAATAGAAGTTAACTTTAGTACAAGTGAATAACAGATCATTTCAGGAATGGAGAGAGAGCTCAGTATTTAAGAACACAGACTGTCTTGCTAAGGACCAAAATTTGCTTCCCAGCACCCACATTGAGCACCCACAGCACAACTGCCTGTAACTCCAGCCTTAGAGGGATATAATGCCTCTGATATTCACAGGAAGCTGCACTAATGTGCACATGAGGATGTGCTCACACGTGCATGCACACACACATTTAAAAATGATAAAAAAAATATTTTAAAAGATCATTGGGTCCATATGTACAATGGTTTAATGTTGAGCTATATAAAAGAGAAAATCTTATTTTCTGCCGCATGGGTAAAAGTGCAAGACTTAAAATGAAATCAAGCAAACACAGGAAATTAGCATCTTAATGTGCAATTTGTAAAGTTAATTTCATAAATAAAAAGAGGCTGTCAATTTAGGAGGGTGCTGAAGTAGTAGTGATCAAAGGTGAAAAAACTTATTAAGATGAGCATAAGGCTATGAGACCATAAGCTGTTTACTAAAGATCTAGAATTAATTGGGTGGGGGAAGGATAGGCATAAGAACATCCATAATTTTATAGATCATGAGTATATTTACTATATTTTTGAGAAGTAATAAGGAAATAGATAGGAAGTGTCTAAGTATAAAACTTATATGAAATGGTAATGTGTTAGGAAGATAGATTTAGTCATTCCAACATAAATATATACTTAAAATAGCATGGTGTACATGATGAGTAGATTAAATTTATTTTTCAGGGAAATTGATAAGCACCAGTAATTTGTTTTATATTTAAGAGTTACTTTTTTCTCTACAGGGAGTCTTTATCATGCTTTTGATTATTGAGGACTTTGAAACCTGTTTTAAGACATCTGTTATATGGAACTGTATTTTTATACATATTTCATTAACTACCACAGGCTCTACCTCTGATGACAGTTTGGAGTACCAAAACAGTATTTGTTTTGTCATTGGTCTCAGTTGTAGAAAACTGTCATGTCAAGTACATCTTATATCTCCTACACTCTATCATTGGAGGTAGCCAGGTTTCAGACAGCCCCTATTAAAAAAAAAAAAAGCCTCATTTATTTTCTCCTGATGGAGGTTTGAATTTCTCTAATTGGCTGTGCTGTAGAGGGAAAAGAGGAGCTGTGGTTGACAGAAGTAACAACTTTGCCCCCAGCTACAATCAAACTGCTTTTGATTTTGTGATTACCTGGGGTGTTGTGATTTCTTAACTGGTTATGGAGTGTACACATGTTCAATTTGGTCAATATTTTATTTTTCTAAAGTTAATATACAAGAGAGTATTGAGAACCTTTGATCCTGTGGTTTCTCACTAATGTTCCAATCTAGTATAACTTTACATATATTTATAAACTACAACCACCAGAATCTATTAAGTTAATTTGTTTGTTTTTATTTATTTCAGCTCTTTCTCATCATTTTACCCAGAACTTTTCACCAGAACAGATCCTAAAATATTCCTTCAAAAAAGTGACTAAGAGAAGACGTGGAAGTTATGGCCTCAAGAGTTTGAGAAGTCAGGCAAATGCAGATGAGAATAAAGGTCAAACAGCCTGCCATGGTGAGTATAACCCATTCGTGATCACAGGCAATAGCAAAGATGTCATTGACAACAGAGATCAAGAACAGAAAACGGCTGTGAAAAAAACCCATGCTAGGACAGGTACTTTTGATGAGCCATGTCTCTATAAACAAAAATATCCATGGGAAATTTTTCAATATAACTTACCTTTGAAAAGATGTTTTGAAGGTCTGAAAGCGGGAAAAATCTTTCACTCAAGCATTTCCATAGACAAAGAATTGAGAGACAGAGAACTGATCTCTAAAGTTGATCAAGTAGAGGTTTCCTATCCTGAAAGATCCTTACTCTTCAGCCAGCAAGTTGATCTTTCCTATGGCCAGATGCACAATTCTGATGGTTGTGGACTACTTGCTACAGACCTATTACTGCATAGCCAGAATCCAGATACAGATATTTGGAAAGCCACACACATGTGTAAAGAAATCAGCAAAGCTTGCAGTAACGGCTCTACACTAAATGATTGCAAGGATAGTGTAGAGAAATCTGGTCAGTGTGACAAAGTACACAATAACATTGACCCTGGCTCAAGTCCCACCAACCAGAACTGTACTCTGTTTCCAAAAAACCTTTTCAATTGTGAAAATTTCTTTACCCAGTGCTCAAAGCTTGCCATTCAGCAGTGTAACTATATTCAAGATAATCATCACAAGCATACAGATTGTGACACAATGTTTAATCAAACTTCAAACCTCAAACCTCAAAAACATAAAAATCGGTATGCCCAGAAGTCCTACAAATGTAATGAATGTGGCAAAGCCTTTAAGTATTGCTCAAGTTACAGTAAACACAGCATAATTCACACAGGAGAAAAACCGTACAAATGTAAACTATGTGGAAAATCCTTTACCCAGTGTGCAAGCCTTAAAAAACATCAAAGAATCCACACTGGAGAGAAGCCCTACAAATGTGAGGAATGTGGCAGAAGCTTTAACCATTGCTCAATTCTTAGTCAGCACCAGAGAATCCATACAGGAGAGAAACCCTACAAATGTAAGCAATGTGGGAAATCCTTTACCCAGTGTGCAAGCCTTAGAAAACACCAGGTAATCCACACTGGAGAGAAGCCCTACAGATGTGCAGAATGTGGCAAAGCTTTCACCCAAAGTTCAACACTTAACGAGCACCAGAGAATTCATACTGGAGAGAAACCTTACAAGTGTGAACAATGTGGAAAGTCCTTTACCCAGTGTTCAAGCCTCAGAAAACACCAGAGAATCCACACTGGAGAGAAACCCTACAAGTGTGAAGAATGTGGCAAAGCCTTTAACTGCCGTTCATCTTTTACTAAACACAAGAGAATTCACACAGGAGAGAAACCTTACAAATGTAGGGAGTGTGGCAAAGCTTTCATCCATTGCACAAACCTTACTCAACACCAGAGAATCCATACGGGAGAGAAACCATACAAATGCAATGAGTGTGGAAAATGCTTTAGTCAGTGTTCAAACCTTAGAAAACATCAAAGAATTCATACATGAGTGAAACAGCAAATGTAAAAATGTGGTAATTCTTTATCCATAGTCCAGGGCTTGTTTAATGTCATATAATTAAAACTGGGTGAGTCCTGCTGAAGCAGTGAGTGTAGCAAAGTCTCCAACTTGTCTGTCATTCACAAGTTCTTGGTATCAGAGAATTCATTCTTCTGCAGAGAGACCCTACAAATAAAAGCAATACCAAGACCTCAGATGTTTATAATCCTGTGCTAGGCACCACCATCACTTTAGAAAGAAACACAAATGATATTTTCTAATGTGGGAAAAATCTAAATTGTTACTCATCTCTTACTGAACATTGAATTCACACCTGAGACAAAAACTGGGAAATATTCAGAACCTGGCAAAACCTTTTTAGTTTTTCAACCCTCACTAAACACAAAAACTCACACCTGAGACAAACCCTACAAGTGCAAAAAAAGTGCCAAAGATTTTTACTATTTTCCATACCTTAATACTAGTTTATATTAGGATGAAACACTATAAACATACCAAATGTGTCAAAGCCTTTAAATCAAGACACAAAGCATTTTAACATCAGAGAACACAGTAAAAATTTCAACTTTGTCCCAAATGCACAACTCAAAAGAGCAGTGAAACACTTAATGTTCTGTGCACATGTAAAAAGTATAACAATTATATATGGACTCATACTGTAATTGATATTAGAGATCTACATGTGTGAATGATGTAAAACCCTTTGTTGTTACTTCCGAGATGGTAGGTACTATTAATTGATCTGATAGAAGAAACCTCATGGCTCTCAAAGAACTACCAACATCTCACTTCTCAAAAGATATGGCTGTATTACATATTAAAAGTTTCTAAATATGCTCGCTCATGGAAACTGGAAGCTCATTCTCATGTACATGTCAGAAGAACAAGACCCATTTCTGAGTGTACTGGTTTTCAAAAACTAAACAACACATTTTCTTTATTCCAGATAAAGTTCTAGGTGACAAACATTACTAATATATTCTTGGGTAAACAACCTCTATTGTTCATTTCCCCCAGGATCTTTAGGTGAAAATGTTGCAGACTGGGAAGTTTCAGAGTATTGTGGACTGAACCTGTGTCTGTCTACGATAGGAGGGAGAAAAATACTCTTGAGGTTCTCATATAGTACCAGCCTCCGACTGACCAACTCCAATATAGGCATCTCGTTGCTGAACATCCAGTCCTTGTTAGACACACACGTCAAAATGAGATCAAATCTGAGGTCTTGGTGTCTCTTGGACACATCAAAAGGTGGTACCAACATGGCAGATCAATACAAAATAGTTCCTCCTGCTGCCATTGAAGTCAGTTGTCCTAGTGGGATACACAGAAGCTCAGTCCACTGTGGAATGTAGGCATATGGCTGTTCTGGGTTAGTGCCGCCTGCAAGATTTACAAACGTGCTGTGTTTCCTACTGACCTAACTGGGAAACCAGGAAGGACCACACGCTCCACGTGTCCATAGAAAAGGATGCCAGGGCAGCCCCCGCACCTGAGACTTGACTCTAGCAGCTCAGGCAGTGATGGATAGGTGGGAAGTGGGGGTTGTTTTGAAGTGTGAAAGGCCACTTCAGCCATCCTTTTCTCACAGCAGTGCAGCAGCAAGCATCAGAGCTGTTAGCTTTTTTGTCTAGAAAGACTAGAGACAAGGGTACATGGAGGGGAGGATCAGATCGACTGGCCTAGCTAAACCCTGATGAATGATTGATATGTTGAATGTGGCTGGCTAGAAAGGTTGAATGTGGTATTAAATAAGCCTCTAGGTTGGGGTAAGACTACAAGGGTCCTTACCTGAGCCTCAAGTTTTGGCATTCCAAGAGGTGCCCAATCTTTGGGGTCATTACATGTGAGACCTAGTCTAGGTCAGAGTGAAAGGGGTTATCAGAAAGAGCCAGCCAGGCTTATCCTGGTGAAGAATGTAGAATCTGGCTGGCAAAGAGGTTGAATGTGACATGGGAAGGAACAAGGGTTCGGGAGAGACAAGGGTCCTCCAGGCTTTGAAGTTGTACAACTTAGAACATTCTCTCTCTCTCTCTCTCTCTCTCTCTCTCTCTCTCTCTCTCTCAGTGTTGGGGCACCTTCTTCATTCTCCTACTGCTGTACCTTCCCTTAAGTTGTTTCTATCGGGGAATTTTATCACAGCAACACAACAGAAGCTAATACAGGGTCCCTGGGTCCAGCATCCAGAACAAACAACAGAGTTCAAAGACATTTGGCCTTTTAACAAAAGAGTCACAAAAACAATGATTATCTTTCACTATTCATAATTGTGAACAACAATCATAATAAATGAAGCGTATTTAGACTCAACCCTTTAAAGTTGCAAAGCTTGAGAAACTTCCTTGCATAGGGTTTCAGGATTGTGTCTGCTGCCTGTGGTTTTTATTAAATAGTATTTAAGTAAGCCTAATAAATGAATCCACTAGCATCAGTTCTAATAAGAATTGAAATGAGTGTGTGTGTTTGGTAGGTGTTTTCTGTTACATTTTCTAGCATCAGTAAGAATGAAGGTAATATAGAAACCCATTAGAACGGATGGGGTAGAGGTGTGAAAATGTGAGGTCTGTTTCAGCTGAGAAGATTGGATTTTTTTATTTTGTGTATGAGTGCTGGCTACATGTATGTATGTCTATCACTTGTGTGTCTAGTACCCACAGAAGTTGGCAGGGAGTATTACATCCCTTGGAGCTTGGGTCACAGACAGTTTTGCACCACCATGTGGGTGCTGGGAATTGAACCCAGGACCTCTGAAAGAGCAACAAATGCTCTTAAGAACTGGGCTATCTCCCTAACTCCTATGTATCTTTTAATAAAATATTGCCTATGTATTTGTTCCTGATGACATTGTTTACTGTCATAGAGGTTTTCTTGTTCCCATCTTGATGAATAATTCAACACATTAAATCTTTTTGAGAAAGCAAACAAGAAATAGTTAAATGTGAAATAAAAATTAGCCAATTGGACTATGTCTTAACTCTGTAGAAAGGGAAGGCAGTTTTTTATATTCGTAAGACAGTTTATTTAAAGCAGATATTTCAGATAACCACCTATTCAATAATCATACAGGAATAAAGTAAAATGGGACAAAAATAAAATGATCAGTTATAGAAGCTATTTTCACTTGGCAAAATATGGATGAATTCTGTGCTTATTTTGGACTAGCGTGTATCGTTGGACACATTAATGAGGTTCAAAATCGATGGCTCCACATGTGCATACGGTGTGTAGACATCCAACCGACTCAAAATATATGAAAGAAGTATGTTCAGGATGAGGTATCTCAGTCCTCCATATGTGGAATCTCCAACATTAAAATAGAGTTGGGCCACTATACCTGTAACTGCTATCACTCAGAAAAGATCGGTTAAGCAAGCGGAGTCTGATTCAAGACTGTGATGCTACAGATGAGGGGTGTTAGAAATTGGCCTCTCAATGGTCCAATCCGTTTTGTAATAAGACATAATTTTCTGGAAGCTAAAGAAAGGAAAAGATTCTTTTTTCATAGTCTAAGAAGTCAGTTCGGAACTGTTGGGTTCTCAGCTAAGAACATTTCTAGGCCTGGGCTCTAGTTTTATGAGTGGAAGCCAATGATAACAACTGAGAGCTTTTTCTATATTAAATGTGAATCACACATGCCAGTGAACTTTCAGGGAAGTTCACACACGCAGTCTTCATAGCTAAGCTGCTACACTGTTGTGTTTTAGTTTGTGTAGGTTGTCTAGTGTTTTCCTAGGATTCGAGTGCTTGTTTTTCATGATCCTAAGTCAGAGTAGTTGGAGGAAGTTGAAAGTACTTTTTTGGAGTGAGGCAGCAAAGTTGATACAGGAGAAGTATCCACATGGAAGGTAAATAATAAAAATGTCTAATAGGGAAATAAGAGTAAGACCAAATTTTTGGAGCAGTAAGTTTTAGACTTAGTTTCTGTATTAGTTGCTTTGCTATGCTGTTGCTAAAGCTGTGACCGCACAGCACAGAAGAGTTTCTTTGGCTCCTAGGTACAGAGGGTTGGTGCCTGTAATGGCAGGGACAGCATGGTAGCTTCTCTGCTGGCATGGGAACTCACATCACTGTAAGCACAAAGCTTAGACAGCTCTGAATAGTGAGTGGATTTGGGCTCTGAAAGCCAGGCCCAAGTGAGGTTTCCTCACACACGCTGCACCTCCTAAAACTCCCTCAAACAGTGCCACTAACTGGAGACCAGTTATTCAAATTTAGAAGCCTTTGGGAAATATTTTTATGCAGACATTTGCTTTCTACTCCTTGACTCCCATGGGCAGCTGGCCGTGTCATAATGTAAAATGCATTCAGTCCAACTTCAAAAATCCCCATGGTCTTTCATAGAACTAACACTATTTAAAAGTTTGAAGTCTCTTCTGAGGTTCAAGATTACATTAATTGTGAACATACTGTTAAAACAAAAAAGAACCTCACAACTTACATACTTCTAATATATAATTCAGAATATACATTACCATTCCAAAAGGGAAGAATTGGGGCTTGGTGAGGAAATAATAGACCAAAGCAAGAGTGAAACCCAGCAGAGCAAGCACCAAATCCTATAGCTTCATATCCAGTGACTGGGGCTTTAATTTCAAAGAGTTTAGATGTCTCCAACCCTCCAGCTTTGCTGCTCACAGCGTACATCTGTCTCTCTTGAGATGTTTGCACTCTCTATAGGAAGCTATTCTTGACAGACACTGTGGCTCTGCCATGTCCAATGTCTTAGGTTCTCCACTACAACTGAGACGAATACAGCTTTATACATACAGTGACATCCCACAGCCTCTTGGCCTCTCAAGGACTTCACATGGGGTCTCCCCTACCACATTTTGCCAGACCCCAGTGGCTCTCTAAAGTCATGGAGGAAGAATACATGAATTCTTCACTCTTGCATCCTTCATGCCTTTAAAGGTAACACTATGTAGAAAATACTGCCACATTCTGCAGCCATCTAGGGATGAGGCTTGCCCCTCTTGAATCTCATTAGCAGAAGTAGTTTTACTCAGTTGCTTAGGGGTTTACTCAGTTTACTTGGTTGCTTAGTAACAGAAAGTGCCTTAGGCTCTTTCACAAATTAGAAGCTTAGCTGTGTGGGCTCTTGACCTGGGAGCACCTTTTCCTCTATTGAAGTGCAGAGAAGGAAACCTCTCTAAAAAGGTACTAATCTCACCTTCTTCAGCACCTGCTTTGGCTAAAACATTAAGCTTCCTGGTGCTCTTTTTCTCTCAATTATATTTTCTGATTTTTGAGCCACACTTTCTCTTCTACATTGTAGACCTGCGTAGCAGACATTCTTAATATCCATGCTACAGATTCAATAGGATGCTACCTTGAGATTGCATTAAAGAAAAGAGTCCGTTACTTTTTAATTTACCCTCAGGCCAGTTCTTAGGAGAAAGAGAGAGTGGCCAGATTCTTTGCCAAGACAATCCTATAAGCAGCCTCTAGCCGAGTTTTTTATTATTATTATTATTATGTATACAATATTCTGTCTGTGTGTATAAAGACCTTTCTTTCCTCTGAAACCTCTTGGCAAGCTTCTAAAGGCTGCATTGCTCACAGACTACTGTCTTCCAGGCTCCCACTAAAATGTCTATTTAAACTCTGCTTATAACATTCAACTGTTTTTTTAGTCCAAACATCCAACGTTTCTTCCACATTCTTTCAAAGGCAACATGGCCAGGCTCTTCGTAGCAGCAGCCCACTCTCTGGTACCACCTTCTGTCCTGGTTACTTTTGTTGTGACAAAACACTGTGACTAAGACAGCTTATAGAAGAGCTAGGGGTTGGTTGATTTTTATTTTGGTTTTGATTTTGTTTTGTTTGACTTACTGTTCGAGAAGTTTAGAGCCCATCATGGTGGGGATAGTATGGTAGTGGGAACAAGAATTCACATCTTGAATTACAAGCACAAAACAGAGACAGCAAACTGGATAGGATGGATTTTGGATCTGAAACCCTGTCCCTAGTGAAATACTTCCTCCAGCAAAGTGCACCTCTGAAACCTTCACAAATAGTGCCACCAATCAGGAAACAAATGGTAAAGTACAGGAGCCTGTGGAGGAACATTCTCATTTAAACTCCTACAGCTTAATTATTTATTTACCTAACTACAGCAAGAATAACTATTGACCATGTAGGCTTTTAAAATGTAAATTTGGGTAATGAACTAACTATACCACTAAGTCATACTGGTGCTTCAGAGAGGGCTGGGTTTTCTGCTTATTTGCATTAAAAAAAAACTTGAAATTAAATTCTCAAAAGAATTTTGAGGCTGGGAAACCAAGACAATCTCAAAGAATTAAGACTGTCAGAAAATGACCACTCTCTACTTATTGCAAGTCCAAGGATCCTATAACAGTTGTAACACAGACATGGTGACCAGTCATTTATTCCGGCAGGTGCTCATTAATACTGGGTGATATCTGACATGAGGTGTTCCAGTTCCAGTCTCCATGTTATAATCACTTTAACCAAGAGCAGAGCTGATTTCCTGTTGTGCTTTGGATCAAAGCAATAAACTTAGGAGTGCTAGTACACACTCTTCTACTGAACTTTATACAACACAGTTCAAGAACAAAGCCCTACTGGACCTAAGGGAAATAACTATACCAACAAAAAACGTGAGGCATGACGATCAACTGGGGAGAAAAGGGAAATTTGCTACTTGAATGTTGAGAATATTCAAACAATGATTGCAGCTATAAGCTAGAAACAATTCCCATCCAAAAAATAATCATCAAACTAACATGACAGGACCAGAATGGGACTGGAGGCCTCTCTTCATCATCATGGGAGAAGATATGAATTCAGTGAAGACAACCGCTGTTCCTATAAGATCTGTTGGGCTGAACTCAAGCTGAAGGCAGGCATGGAACCTACATGAACAAATCACCAACCCCTTGCTGAGTCCCAAACAAGAGGTGGTAACTGGCCATATAGGCACCCAGGCCTGCCATATACCTAGATAGATATCAGAGAATCAACGAAACTCTGTTTTACTTTAGAACATCCTTGGAAAGCACTATCTGATTCAG